TAATCAACTTTATAAGGTGAACATAGGTCAAATGTGTCACAGCTTGTTGTGCTGACCTCAAGTGGCCAAAAATCAAAAATTAAATGCAGGTTTAAGGATATGTACCATGTAAGAGTAGTATAAAATAAAATATTAAACATATTAATACTAGATTTTAACACAGGGCCCTTCTATAAGACAAGACCACAAGATTTTGTAAAAAATGTACCACCACCATACCATTTCAATTCCATTTGCTTTTACCAAACAAATGTGTAATTAATCAAATTAGGACAAGTTAATTGCCACACAGACAACCTGGGACCTTCAGGACCCCCAGGCCTAACTAACTGGCCTAACTGGTAATCCATCTTCATCAGGAGCTCTGTTAGTGGTTAGCTAACAGTTACACATTCATCGGATATGAACCAAAATTAGCATTCATTTGGAGTTGTTCGAGCCCATATTCTCTCTTCTCTCCATCTCCTTATAGCTCCGGTTTGGTCTGTTCCTAGTGCGGAGGGTAAATACCTTGCTCTCTAGTGGCTAAATGCTCCAATATGTTCACTAGCTATAGCTTCTAACTTTGTCATTTGGTGCTCAGTTTGTCGTGTACATTTTATTTACTGAAAACATCTGCCTACTGCTGCTGGAAACAAGGTTGGCGATTGTGAGAGTGAACAAAAAACATGTGGGCCTTCAAACCAAAACGGAAGCGGAAAGAGTAAAAGCGGCTTGTGGTACTGATTTTCGTCCCACATCCCCCTACAGCTTAATACAGCCTTGTTGCTGTACATTACAGCTATGGAAAGATAGTTACAGTACAGTAGCATCTGACAATAAAACACACGGAATAACTGTTGCTTCTCAAAACCAACATTTATGGACAGTGCTTAGCTGGCTAAAACACAGCCAAATGTTAAATGAACCTGATGTTAGCAGCTGCAATAGTGCAGCACCAATTAATTAATGCTATATGATATACATATATCCATACATGGATGATATTAACCACATACATATATTCAATACAGAAGAGAAAAATCACAGTGTATTCCTTCCCAATGGATCAATTAAGGGATTCAAAGAGAGCAAAATGACAACTATATATGCTCAAGTCTGCACGTTTTGATGAGAAACAGGGTGTAATCAGGCAACACCTGAAGGCTAAAAACCATCTAATCTCAAAGGCAGTCACCATCAAAATATAAAGGCATAAAAGAATATTTAAAATATTTTGTATCTGTCACAGAGGGTTTCTGACTTTAAGTTGCTGATCTATCTGTGGGGGTCTAAAAACCAGAAAAAACTAGTTTACATGTTTTGTTTTAATCAATGACTGGGTTTATTCCAGCATCCAGAGCAGCTTTACTTCAGTAAAATGTTTATAAATCGTCTTCAGCTGTGCTTAGTGAAGTCTCTGCCTGTATGCTACCATCTATAGACCATCTCTGCAGAGATAATAAGGTTGTGCACAGCGCCCTCTTCTGCTGGAGGAAGAAAATCACATATCTTTCGTTGATGATGTGGGATGCATTTTTATACAGTAATATACAAATTAATTTAGCTCTGTAGCGTTTCTTCATGGTTCTTCTATACTCTTTAAAGAGAATCCTAATCAACATAATATATTATGTTAATGTAATTAATACATTACCTAACTGTAACTAGTAAACAGCCCTTTGAAGAAGCGAGGTCTGTCCTTCTTATAGTCAAAGTCTGAGCCTCATAAACAGGGCTGTTAGGATTTTAGAAATACATTCTGACGAACCAACCAAACTTTTAAATAAATAACAAAAATGTTAGTATGTAGCTGTATATAAAGTTGTTCAAATTACACCCTGAGAATACACAACAAGCTACACTACTTACAATACACACTGATGCATCAGTCACAAGGATGAAATAAGTACTTTTACTTTAATATGTTAATGTTAATATGTTTTGCATTTACCTATACTTCTGTTCCTACTTAAGCAGGATTTATCTTGCAGGACATTTATTTGCAATGTGCAATTGCTGTGTATTGCTATATTGGTACTTTTACTATCTGAATACTTCTTCCACCACTACATCAAGATCACAAATGAAACATTATTGAGGGACCTTTCTGTAATTTCAAGACAATTAGTCTAAAAAACATAAGAATCGCTCTTTAGAAGAAAGTGTATAATTTCTCATGACGTTGGTGTTCTCAATAATAGAATAAAGAATAAAGTAAAAGAGCACACACATAAACATACATCTTGGTAATACACGTGCCGGTGTTAGTTACAGTATTTGATGTCATAACTAACAGAGATTTATGTCGTAACATCGATGATTATAAACAAGGCACAGAAACAAACTCAGATTAACTTTTTATTGTCATTTCTGCAGAAATACCACAAAAAACAACAACAAAATCGTAGTGACTACGCTGTGATTGGAAGAATGGTTCCATCTTGATTCTCTATAAATTTAGGTTATACTATCTTTGTTACAATAAAATCATTTGTTAGAATTACTAATAGAAAAAAAAGCTCAGGGAGATGAGTTGTGTGCATAGCTTATAACCAACCTCCATACAAAAAATAAAAGGAGATAAAAGAACAAAAATATATAAATAAATGCTTAAAAAGAATACTAAAGGCTGTGGTGATGTAAACCCAAATTCGGACTATAAGATCAGTGGTTCATCCCCAAATGTGAGAATAACGTGATTAATAAACATACAGTTGCAAAATACAAACCGTATGTGTAGTGTAAAGTGATTCAACTTATATAATGAGCTGGGTTCAACCAGCGTAGTGTGATCAAGTTGTGAAACAACAAGCTAGAACTGCAGCTTCACTGGAAAAATAACATCAAAGTTTACTGATGAAGAGTCTTAAAACCAGATTTTTATTGTAATTGAGGAGGAAATATTCTGCCAAAAGGATTATTTGGTTTGTTTCTGGTGCAACTAAACTAGGGCTGAAACGAGTAGTCGATTAGCTGCTCGAAAAAGAAAATGAATGTCACTGATTGATCAGTTATTTATCAAGCACAAATGTCCAGATTGTGAGGATTTGCTGCTTTTCTCAGTAATCAACTAGACGATTCCTCAAGCAAATTATCACCAGATTAAATCGATGAGGAAAATTATAACTAGTTACAGCCGTTGACTTAATTTTTCCTGGATAACTTTGGAACATAAAATCCTTAATTCCAGAGATTAGTAAAATTAAAAAGGACCTGCATTTAAAAAAGGAAGCATTATTTGACAGACTGACAGCTTTTTTCCACCTTTTTTTACGAACAGACAAATTTGATTTTAAGACTCTGTACACCATAAAATCCTTCTTGTTCAGTCTTGAAGTGGACAAGTTTGCAGAGTTCAAACTTGTTTCTAAAACTAACAAAAAAAGCATCAACCAGCCAGCTGGTTGGCCAATGTTGGTCATTACAATTCCTGCCTCTCTGGTGTTTGTTCATCTGATGACAGCTGTGAACAAACCAGCCCAACTCCAAGTAAACATCCTTGTAAACACCAAAGGGAATAGACAAAAACCTGACAGCAGGCTGTTGCTCCACCAGGGGGCAACAAAGACTTGTACAGTCAGAGCCACTGCAGAAATCCCTTCTTTAACGGGACACAGTAAAACCAGAACAGTTTGTACCACAGAACTAGTGCTTTCAGCTGACCTCACATTTTGTTTTAACTTCTGATGGCTGAGGAGAGACGAGAACTAAATGTCATAGGATTAATCCTTCATGGAGTTGCAGCAACAGTGCAGCAGTCATATACATGTAGTAAGCATACAGTGGGATTTCCAAAATGGCTACACCTGCATGTTACAACACAACTGACACAAAGAGAAAACAGAGTAAAGAAACCAAAACAGAAAACAACATTTCTCTCCTCACCATCACTAGCACTTTTCACAGTTTTTGTGGTGCTTTCGGGTCATTCAAGAGAAACTTTGCAGGCACAAAGTGGTTCTACTGCATTTCCCTGATCAACAGGGAACAGCATCAACTTCAAACAAAAAGAAAAAAAAAACTCAAGCGATTCAGAGTTTCTGCATTTACACGGCTGCTCAGTGGTTCTCTCAACTCTTCCCTTTCAGTGTTGGATGCGCTGCCTGTAAGTGGAAGTTATAACACCGTGCACGCACTAGTGCATGTGTGAACTGCATAGTAAGTTATCACGTTTTGCTTTTGGGCCTCGGTTTAGAAGTTTTACTTCACTTTTATCTCCACACATCTAAGCCAGTAGGATTCTTGCTTAAAATTTCAGGCAGTTTGGAGCAACACAAATCTGCCAGATTAATTTTCATCAAAAAAACATGTTTCAGACATGTTAAAAAATAATCTTCTGAATTCACAGTGAAACTACTGCTAAATATCCGTGGCTGCACAACTTGTGGCCAAATTAAAAAGTTAGTGTAACTGCTTATAGAAAAATGACTCAGCAAAAGGATTGTTGGTATAAATGAACATCATACTGCAGGAGTTGTGGGTAAAATGTTTAAATGATATTACAGGAATAAAGAAAAGTTTGGAATCAATTGAAAATCCATGAAAACCATTATCATCCATACATCCCCAGTACGTCATGAGTAACTTCGGTCCAGCCTCAGTGACTTCCTCTCCTGTTCCTATGCACACAAGATGTTCTCCACAGATAGTCTCTGAAATTCAGTCTAAGAAGATCCAAGTCAGCAGACTTCTGTGAATGAACTGTGCCGATACAGAAATTGTTGACTTTATAAACTTTATAGACTGATTCATGCCATGTGAATTATACTGTCTTTTTTGAGCAGTGAAAGGATAGTCTAGACAGTCACTTAAGTAAGAATTAACTCTCTGTTAATTAAGTTATTAATTAACACTGTCCCTAACAAGACACCACTGCGCTGCATGCTAGTTTATTTTAGCATAAACAATATAAACTCATAACTGGCTCCACGCTAAGACTTGCTAGCACACAGCAGCTGTGTCCCAATTCCGTATTAGATACTAATTCTGAGCAAGTGTAAAGTGTGTAGTGAACATTAAGGTCACACAAGGGAAGAAAGGAAATGGAGGACCTTCTACAACTGGAAAAAAAGTAAAATACATTGGGGTTGGTAGTGACAGTGGTAGCTAAAGAACAATCTAGGTTAACAAAAAATATAAAATTATAATTGCCAGTGGCATTCAAGCATAACCGTTTCATTGACGTCTGTATGCGGACCAACTGCACAAAAAACTGAAAAGTCTGTTGATTTTTTTTCTATACTACCTGCAAAAACAGCACTATTACAAATGGTAATATTACATACTGCATGCAGATAGTATTCAGTGCGGAATTGGGACACAAAGTATCAAGTGACAGCAACCCATTGGCATTTTATCTCACGTTTGTTTCCTTCCTCTTACTTTGGATAAGCACAGTCGCCTACTTCGAGTTAGCATAGAGCATCAGTTATAACAATAAACTATGGACACATGGATGATTTTGGTGTCTGTATCCTAACCATTAAACGGGTAAAATTACTATATAGTGTGAGCTCCTGAAATTTGTGGACTATAAATGTAATCTCCATCCATACTTTTGTTACTGCAACAGAGAAGCAGGTAAACACACCATAAGGCAGTCTCAGAAACATTTTGTGCATTGGTGTTTTCACTCTGAGTCGCTCTCAACATCACAAAAACAGCTGAACGGAGTGCACACAAGCAGACTGCCACAAACTTCACATAAAGTGCAAACTGACAAGGTTTTCCCCTCATGGCATCAGACCGGCTGAAGCTCCAGGAAAACCAGCGAGACAGAGGAGGAGACCACCCACGGGTCAACACGTCGCCTCTCCTGATGGTCTCGGTTTAATGGCTCTCAATGACCACAGGCTCGTACCCGCCTGCAGAGACCCTGCAAGGACCCACACATACAGGAACAAGAGTCAGAGTCAGAGTCAGAGTC